ATTTCATTTTCAAGTATTTTGGAAACTGTATCACATGATTTTAGATAGTTTAAATACATGTACTGTACACAGTATGTTTTAGCAATAGCAAGTCTCTAAATACATTCCGCAAACGCACTTCTCCTACAGATATGAGTTAAATTTGAGCCTTACGAACAGAGCTATAACGTAACTATTTTCAAGCTCGTTAACTAAACGAGCTCGAGGTCGACTCATTTGCTCAAGCCTTAACTAGACAATTAGCAGCTTGTTTCATTTAAAATCTCATCAGCTGTGGTACACAAGAGAAATTCCTATGATACATCACTAAGTACACACATATTTAGCTCTCATCAGTTGTGGTCCACAAGAGTAATTCCTCTGATGCATCATAAGTACACACATATTTAGCTCACACGATTATGTTGGCCATCTGACATATCTTAATTGGATATTATGAAATATTAATCAACACTAATTACAAATTATATAACATTTAAATACATCCCAACTAATACGTTACAGCAAGTCTTCAAGCGTACCAAAACCCTCTTCATCAGACAGAGAAAAAGACAAAAGGAAAAATAAAAAAAAAAACAGAAAACCTCAGAGAGACATCTCTTCTGCTGAAATCAAATGCAATGAATATATTTTTCCAAACAAATCTTTTCAAGGTGTATAAATAGAATGCCGTATCAATTTCATATGAGAAGATCTATCCAGTTCAACTTCCTTGAACTAGCAAAAGCACGAATATGCGAAATGATTCTTTTTCGTAACATAATGCGATACGAAATCCTTAGGATCCGCGGAAGAAGTTGGGATGTTTTCCGGAACAAGTATTTGAGTCCGTCCGGAAGCTATTCTTCTTCCAGCAACATTGGCGTAAAACAGGCCTGATATGGCTGGAACATAAACATCACTCTCGGAGCAAATATAGTAGTCGATTACCTTCTCAAACTCCAAGGTGTCCGAGTTTAGAAACTTGTCCTTTTTCTCCATGGGCATTATGGAGTCCTGCAATAGATTGAAAGGAAATGGATAGTTTAGTGACAATAAACACATGATTTCACCTACAAACAAATCAGAATATCCATATTTTTATAAACTGTATCAAGATGGCACGAGCCATTTTGATGGTGAAATAGCAAGATGTAGGTTCACTCTTTTTTTTTCTTACCTTGGTATAAGTTTTTGGGAAGAAGTCCTTTAGTGCATCAAGGCTGTTATGCCATTTTGTTTGCGTCACATACAAAGTAGTATCCTCCTCGAACCCGATCTTCTTTAAAAACAATGCTATCTCTTGCGGACCATAACAACTTTTGGACCCCGAGTCATCACTTCCATGACAACCTTTTTTCTCCAAAATGTCAATCCTCAAATCAATGGCCACAAACTGCCCTTTTGACTTCTTACTGACAATTTTCAGGCGATCGATAATCGAGTCAACCACTTCGCGGACTTCAGCTTGAGGTTCCAAGGTCCCAAACATCGCCAGGCATTCGAGAGAATCTGAGTTGGTCTTTTCTTTATTGTTTTTCATGTTGACTGAGGGGAAGTAAGTGACGAGTCTCACATTCCCCTTGGTCCTGAAAAATGGTTCAATGTTGTCTGCTATGTGCTCTTCGGTAACTCGATTAGGGACCTTTACTACTGCAAGATTACGAGATGATAATCCAGCAGGCTGTGATTTAACAACTTTGACCACGCCGTCTAGGCTTGATATGAATTTCTCAACATCATAGACATCCTTAAAGTCCCTGAAAGTTTCAGACAGGGTTATAGAAGTTGGACTACATTAGTCACTTACACAGTTTTATGATGAATAAGTTAACTGCACTTATGAATTATAATGAACCACCGGTTAACTAAGCAATATCCAAGGGCCACATAAAACATGAGGTTTTTAATGAGACGGCACATAGTTCTATTATATATTCATAAATTTACAGCCGCCACTCGCTGGCTGTAAGTCAGCTAAGAAGGGAGGTGGTGCAAGATCTAAATAGGAAATAGAAGGTCAAACGCATATTTTGATTTTGGATTTTTTCTTATTTTTTATTTTTGCTTGTGAAAGCCTTCAATAGAAGTGTCAAATGCATCGAACCTTTTGTCACCGGGACTGCTTCCTCTGATGTCTGGGATTACAAGTGTTGCGCGTAGATATCTTGCAACCACTACTGCATCAGAAACCTAATAGAAGATAATAAACACAGAATGATCAATTCTTACAACTGGAAAAAATGCA